CTAGTTATATATCTTCAGCTATAGTCCCAATTATTTATATTTTGAATTTTAAAATTATAAAAAAAAACCTCTGTTAACTATAACAAACAAAAAATTTAGTTACACATGTCCATAAACATAAGTCTATGAATAATTTTTAAAATAAGAATTTAGGAAAATGGATAATATAATTGAATTGAATTGAATTGATTGATTGAATAAGAACAAAAAAAAAAATTAGGTGTAATGTGAAAAGAAATATTTAAACCATTTCCAATCTAGTTTGGATCTCGTTTAGAGTTTTAATAATAATAATAATAATAATAATGAAATTATTATTTAATTTATAAGTGTAAATACACAGTGTAAATACGAAATAATTTTTTTTTTTGTTTTGCTTTAATATATATTATTATTATAGTTTTAATTTATTAAGAAATAAAAAAATGTAGAATTTTAAAAAAAAGTATAATGTAATGGTATAATGGAATATTTTATATTAAAAGGGTATGACATTAATTATTTAGGATATAATAATAACTCCACCCCTATCGTTAAATTTGATGTAGTGTGAAAGGGAGTATTTGAACTGATTCCAATCCAGTTTTGATCCAGTTCAAGGGTTTAGAAAGTAAAGTTATATAGTTTATAAGTGTGAACAAATGTGAACATACAGTGTGAACACAAAAAGAATTTTTTGGTTTTGCTTTAATATATCTTTAGATTGGCACCCCTAAGTGGTGGCTTCTCTAGAGTGACGATTTGTGACGGCCCTAACACAAGCGAAGCCCTTAGAATCTACTGTCTTTGTTATCTGGATCAACACCTCTGACGTGTCATATGATGTGGCAATTTCATTGGGACACGTCACGAAATGGTTCGATCATCCCAACCACTGGAATCGAAAAAATCTGACAAGTGGGATGCATCCATATCCAATCCTATTGCTGGGTTCTGTTACATTTGAGCCAAATTATTCCAAACCCAAATATATTCGGCTGTATTTGGGCAAATGGATGTGTTTAGTTACATATTATGGACACGCTTTATTGACCTAAATTACTTATGACTTATCAACGGTGATGACAGCACGATACCAACTTTGATCAAACAACTGGGAAAATCCATTGCCGTTGATCAGGCAATAGAATTCAAAGGTAGTGTAATTAACCTCCAAGCCTTGGGTTTGGGAGATCCTCTTATTTCCAATTTACCTGGAGAACCTACCTCCTCTGTAATCAAGTTTTGGTTTTTCTTTTTTTTAGAAGGTATCTGACTTTTAACCCCCCCCCCCTAATCCAGTTTAAGGACTTGGGATTTGCTCAATCCCAACTAAGTACTTTATCACACCTTATAACAACTTCTACAGCATGAA